TTCCTTTTTTATTCACTTGACTATGATAAACCTTGTGCTTCACAAGCAGATGTTTTTAAAACTGCTTATTAAATATACCATAACAGCTACAGAATACAACAGAAATAAGACATGCAGAACTCTGAAATATTTCCAGATGATCAAGACTCACAACCAGTCTGTGGCTGACATAAGAGACATCCATTTTGAACTGTATTTATTATTTTCTTGCTACTCTAAATAAATCTTAGCAAGACTTGGCATATCTACAGTAATAAAATTTTAATTTTACTGCAATGGATCCATCTTTCTAAAGGCTATACGACATGTTGAAGCTGCACTAAATCAGATCTCTGCATAAGCTTTAAATGAATGATAGCATGCATTAAGAAATCACATGGAAGTCAGGTAATGTTGCATTTCGTTTTGATTGAATTACATTATTAGGCATCAGCCTAAGTGAAATGAAAACAGACCCAGCATCATGAAGACATGTCCACTGAGCTTCATGGACTTAAGTATTAGTTTTAAATGTACAGTTCTTTTTACTTATTCAAAACTTCGGTACATACATGTTAAGTTTTTAGAGAAAATTTTAGGTCATAGGGGAGATGGAGACAAAAAAGGCACACAATGATTTCCATCACCTCTGAACAAGAATTTATCAGCAATTCAGCAATTTCAGGATTGCACCATTAGCACTACAAAATTAGCTTACTCAGTGTAATTTATTCATCTCTCAACTGGATACATTGTGACACTCAGAGATTATTATGAATTTGCATCACTGCATAAAATAAGAGCACTCAACTGATCATGGACACCCTGTCTGTAGTTGATTATTGCACTCTCCACTGTAAACCAGGTATGTCTGCCAAAATAATGTATTTTACATGACTGTGTATAACAATGTACATCATCAGTACATCTTGAGAGTGGCAGGATAAAGTAACAAAAGTTGGTGACTACATATATATATATATGTAATGTGGAGTGCCAATAGAAATATCTTCTATTACACAGTAAACAGAACAGTCCAGATCATTGGGTTAACACAAGACACAACCTCACTCACCAAATCTGTTAACTTATTCAATTGTTCTGACTACTTTTGAGTTAAAGTATTTCCCTAGCAACAAACACTGGGTATAAAAAAAAAAAAAAAAAAAAAACAAGAAGAAAGAAAATAAAAAGAAAGGAGGAAAAAGGTTTACACTATTTTAACATCATAACACATGCAAAAAAAAAAAAAACCCTGAAAGTTAAAGCAGGAATTACCTTTTAAAGCAATATGCTGAAAAATACTTCAATTTTTAAGAAAATATGACATAAAATTTACCACAAGCTTTATTTACTATAAAGCTTACCCAGTATGTGAAGAATATACTTTCTGTTCCCATTTGTTACCAGAGAAGGCAATATGTCTTGTATTTATTATGACAACATGATCTCCACAGTCATCTGCAAGGTAGAAGTGGAAGATATTAAAGAAAATCATGGAGGGAATCAATCCAAGTAACAACTATTATGTGTGCAATACATACATAGTAGCATATAAATACACCTTCCATAAACCCAAAATTTAAAGATCTCAGCTTTCTGAGCCACACTACCCCAATCAGCACTTAGATACCAACCTTAATTACTATTTTTAGTACTACCAGGTTAGAAGGCAGGTAAGCAGGTAAAATACCATCAGGCCAGATGACTAAACCAGTGCAAATACTCAGCTAAGATTTGGAAATCTGGCTTATAGGCAAATTTCTATTCTATTGAACACATTATGCTGCATATGCACCTATATTAAAAACAAGCAAACAGACAAATGAAAAAAAAACAAAACACACACACACACAAAAAAAAAGGTTAGTTCCAAATGATCCTAAATATATTTTAATTTACTTTCTCATAAAAACAGTACCTGTGTTTACTGAAGGACTGAACATTTTGCTTAAGTAACATACTTCTATTAAGTAGTTACACTCTCAGGCTAAGTATATAAAACAAACAAAAATATTGCACTGAGAGAAATGGCAGTGGGAAAAAGCCCTAAAAACACCACCCCCAACAGCTCTGTTGGGAAAAACTCCACATTTTCATCAATCCAACACAAGCAAATGTTACAGCATATATATGTAACTTTAACATCTAAAGTTCTTTAAGTGCAAGGTTTATTATCTATTACCAACACCCTGGCAGAAACAGGGGTGGTTTAATAAGGCTTCTGTAGTAATAAAGTGCTAACAGAACCTCTATTAACTCAAAAATATCACATAAATAGGAGAAAAGATGTCGTTTTTAATTTCAGAAGTAATGATCTTGATCAGCTGTATAAGCTGTAATCACCCATTCAACTAAAGTGAAAATGGTTTCTCCAAAGTTCAGCCTCATCTGCATCACCATATTAGAACACAAGTATTTGAAGAGGCTCACTTGATTAAAACACTTTTGAGTAGATAACAAAGCAAGGCTTAAACTGACCATGCATTTTTATAGGAGCACGTAATTAATCAAAGCAACTTTCACACCTTAAGTTTTTTATTAATTTTTAATCTTGTGTTTTTTTAATGCTCCACTTTCAATTACAGCTGAAGTGAAAATGCCATTTACACATCTTTGTTGCTGCAGCTTTTCACTGCTGACAGTACAGTTCTAAAAACACTGTATGTCTTCATAAATGTCAGGGAACTGGACTGTCACTTTGTGACTTTTTGGTGTTTTGGTTGGGAAGATGACACAATAAGCTCATATTAAAGAAATGTATGCCAACAGTTTTCCACTTGCATGAACACTGAATTAACAAATACCAAATTAAAAACAAAACAATAAAAAAAAATCTTCCTGATGTTTCTCTGTCCAGGGAGCTGCTACCTCGCAGACACTAAAATATTTGTTAGTTCAAAAAAAGAAGCAAAAGAAGCATTAAGTACATAAACCACAAGTTCCTGCATACTTTGCTCTCCAAAATGTCTCAGTAGCAGTAACCAACCAGTTGGTGTCAACATGTGTAAAGCAATTAGCACTGATTTACAGAACATTTTAAACAAAATGAAGTTATCCTTGAAATGCTTCCCAAGACCTTATAACTTCACAGACATAAAAGTATCAAAGTTCTTTTGCACAAGGTAACCAAAGCATTTTCCTCTCAGTACCTGCTTTATTTCTCAAGACAGCCTTAATTCTCCAGTGACATCTTGTGGATACAACAAAATTTGCAACAGCAGAACTGACATTTAAAGGTCTTGACAACACTAAAAATCCTACCTCCTATTGTGAAATAGATCGAGTATAATTTTACTATGTATACTTCACCATGTATGAGCCAACTTCAACTTCATTATGTTACAGTAATGTCTCTGGAAAAATTTGCATGGGTACTACAGGAAACATTGTACCAGTGGTGTGAAAGATCAACTTTTTATTATTTATAAAATGCTTATGCTCATGAGACAGGCACTACAGCATTACAGGTAATGAACAGGATTACAGATGCATCTTTATAGCTGAATCTCTAATTTGCAGAAAAACAAAATGATGTTTTTGTTTAAACAAGATACCTTTCAACAGTGACTGTCACCCATTTAAGGACATGTCCCAGCCTCCTCATCACAGAACGTGTGAGGCAGGAAGGAGCCTTTGAAAGTCACATCATCTAAACCCAGTGCTCAAAGAAGGAGCAGCTTCTGAAAATCTCCACAGATGGAGACTTCACCACCTCTTGGGCAATAACTTCCCATTACTCTCACAGTAAAAAAATCTTATCTGATGTTCAGAGTATCCTGTGTGTCAGTTTGTGTCCACTGCCTCATGAAAACAGATCTGCTTGGCACCTTACCTTATCTGATGTTCAGAGTATCAGAGTGTGTCAGTTTGTGTCCACTGCCTCATGAAAACAGATCTGCTTGGCACCTTATTCAGAATGAAGCATTCCAAGACTGTGGTCCTGGGCACCTATTGAAAGGAAGCACTCATGTTTCTTTATGTGCACTGTGAACTAAATCTTTACATTTAAGATCAACAAAACATGTTCTGAGATTTTTTAAAAAATGAAAGAAGAACCCACTGTAATTCAGTTACTCAAAATGAGTTACAAATTCATAACATACTTCATATGCATTGGTAAAGAAACAACATTAGGTTGCAGAGGGGTATAATGGAAAAAGATGAGAAAGAAAACTAATTAATTTGTAATTTATAAACAATTGGGAAATGTAATCTTTTTTATCAAGCTTGATGTTAAAACTGAAATTAGAAGAAACATGCATGTTGAAGAAAAGCAAATTTGCTTTCACCCACTGCAATACTCACTTAGTGCATGATAAATAGGTTTATGTTTGCCTTCGAGTCTGATTACAGTGGCAGCTGCTATTTTTCCTGGGGGCTGCATCTTCGCATCGAGGAGGTACCAGGCTCTACCAAAAGTAGCCCATTGCTGAAAAGAAAGAGGATCAGTATTTATCACAGGGAAAGCTCACACTACTGTAATCTATCTTCCTCAATTAAATCAACACTTCTTTTACATTCAAAAAATACTAGAAGAAATATTGGTATGCAGCGCCACCGCCTTCAAACAACCTTTAAACGGAGGGAGCACTGCGATGCACCGACTGCAGTGCGACGTGCGTGGGTAACCCCGCTGACGGGTTACCGGCCCTGAGGGCTTTGCTCCAAAATGTAGGACTCCTGCTGCAAGCTTCCATTATGGCTACATGAGCCGGAACATCGCTGCAGGATATTTAACGCCCAAGGTCTCCTTCCCTCCGCTGAAGGGCACCGCTCCCCCTCAGCAGCTTTCAGAGCGCGCACAGCCTGAGCCGCGGGTGTCCCTGCCCCAGCCGTGTCCCACACGGCGCTTCCTGCCAGCGGCACCCTCAGGCCGGACACCGGAGGCAGTCCCGGGGCGCTCCACGGGGGCCTGCGGATCCTCGGTGCCCGTCCGCCCCCTCAGGGCCCCGCGGGGGAGGCCGCGCTCACCTGGGCCGCGCGGCTGTAACTCGCCATGCCGCCGGCCGCGCGGGGCGCGCAGGCAGCGCCGCGCCGGGGCCGCGGGAAGCGGAAGCGCTGCCCTGCGAGGGCGGGGCCCGGGCGGCTGCGCGGGACCTTCGGAGCGGCGCCCGCCGCCGCCGTCCCGGCCGGTCATGGACCGCTACGTGCTGCTGCTGAGCTGGGGCGAGCGCAGGGCCGGGCCCGGGCCCGGGCCCGCCGCAGCCACCGCCGCAGGTACCGCAGGGGACGGCGCTGGGCCCGGCGGGTGCTGGGCCGCGGCGGGCGGGCGCTGCTCTGGAGTCCGCGGGGCTCTCCTGGCTCCTGCCTCCCTCCCTCAACACCCCTTTGCCTTCAGGCTGAGAGTCTTCGGTGCCTTTAAACTGCAGAAACCTCAGGGGGGTTCCTGCTTCATTGCGGTGATGCCATGTAACTCCGTAATGCGTTCCTGAGCGTGACTTAAAGGAGAACTTAGGAAAATTTGTCTTTTTAAACTGCGTATCTGCAAGTGATAGTTCTGTTAGAAACCTAACCAACCCCTTTTCCCCTTCTCCCCTAAATTCACTTTCTAATTTCACACTGAACTTTATACTGCATTTGCAAGAAAGTAGGATTTAATATCCATAATTCAGTCGTTTTAAGATTTTTTTTTCTTTTTCTAGCTGGGACTGCTGCAGACGTGTATCAGTTCCTGAAAGAAAGTTGTAATGCATCTATAAATGCAGATGTGAGCATTTTCCCAGGTAAATATGGCAATGCACAGTGAGGTAGGGCAAATGCTGCTGAGGAATTGGCCTATGCATGTTCTGTTAAGGGAAACAAGTCAGAAATTTAGGTCAACCAAATTGCTGTGGTGTGGACCTGTTCCTTCCTGCTGCTCCTGATTCTGTGGAGAACCTGTCATTTCAGCAGCTAGGGTGTTAGGAGATGATTAGATTGATTGGTTGTGAGAAATGAAGGGGAAGGGTTTTGAAGAGCTGACAAATTTCAGTCCAGTTGAGCAAGGAAGAGTAGGAAATGGCTTGATTCTCAAGTCAGTGGGTAGCATGATCTTTTAATTACTCCTGTAATGTCTTCTGATTTATTCAGTAGAAACAATACTTGTCTGTTGGGTAGCAATTCAGAACTTTAATCCATAAATACTAAATAATTTTTTTACCTTAGAATAGATGTTTTAAGGTCTGCTTTAGTACTTTTAGGGGCTGTGTGTTTGTGTTTTGTTGTTTTGGGGTTTTTAATCCAAAAATGCTTTCTTAGTTCTTTACTAGGTTTGTATTTCTACTGTTATAAGCTCATCTTGTCACAGATGTCATATAATTGGGATTTATGTGGGAAAACCACTATAAGCTCTTAAAATTCATGGAAATGGGACTATTAAGCTGTTTTCAACTTCTGTCCTTTTTTTACCTAGAAATGTTGATAGAGCATCTCATTTTGTGAACTCTAAATCATATTTATGAAAGGTTTTGTTTAGTTCAGGTCTGATACAGATCATGCAAAGAGAAAGCAATAGTACCCAGAACAGAGAAGAGGTCAAATGTTTTCTTACTTACTAACAGTCAGAGGGTTGGTATTAGACACTTGCCATGACACTTACCTACATTTCAGTGTGTTTAGAGCTTAATTATGATGCCAAAGGAAAGTAGAACTCAAGTAATTGTTGCACATTAAATGATTTACAGACTCTTTTAACAGAAATGTTCATGATAATAGGAAGAATAGATTATAGTGAATTGATTAATTTAAATAATTGTTTTATCTCTTGCAGCTTGCTCAGTGGCTGGTGTTCCAGGTGCCAAGAAATGGTATTTTGCAAGTCATGTCATTTGTGGTTATTATCAGGTAAGACAAACTCTTTTAGAGTATAAGTTCCTCAACCATCTACCTGACTGTAGAACAAGCTAAAAATGTGATGTTTAAAACTGTTTTTGCTTATTTAAGTCTTTTTGTTTGATTAGTTCTGCAGTTCTGACTGGGAGGAAATCAATGTTGACACACAAAAAAATGAAGACTCTTACCAAGCAAGCATTGACGAGAACCTGGGAACCACACAAAGTTTTGAGGAAGATGACAACAGTCAGGAATCACTGTCTCTGACTGAGTATGTGTATTATTTTATTTCAGGAACAGTGATCTGACATCTATCAGTGATGATCTAAGGGGATCAAGAAAGTTTAACAAGTGAGAGTTAGTATCAAAGCAAGAGTTAACTGTGAACAATCCCCTACTAGTACTGAAAATATTTTTGTTTAGCATAGCTTTAATATTTTTACAGATGATTTTTATAGGATAACTGAACAGTTTCCTATCAGCCAATGTTATATATACAAAAATTTCTTGCTAATTCTTTTTGAATCCTACTTCCAGTTTTACTTCAGATTATTTTGATGTCATTAGACCTACTTTTGTCTCAGTAAAAGAGGAGATGATTTCTCATATCCTGAGTGTGTTTGTGCAGAGTTTTAAAGATGTAAGATACATCAGGTACCATTCATTAATTGTAACTTTTTGTTTCTAAATGACTTTGTTTATATTTTGGTTCCAAACGTGTTGTTGTTCTTCATTTTTAGTATTTATGATGAAGCTGCTGAAAGTCTACATCAATTAGCTGATAAATTGCCTGCCCCAGGTAATCTGTCTTTAAAAACCAATCTCATTGGAGTTTATCTTGTTAGTTACTAATCTAAAACTCATTTGGTAAAAGCATAGTGAGTGGAAAAGTTCAGAGAATGTTAGATTGGTGCTGAACTAACTTAATGTAGCTCTTGGAGGTAGTTTAGGAACTTGAGCATGCTTGGCATTGCAGATCAGCTTGAGGACTAGTTTGCTGCTTGTTTCTTTGGCAGGCTGTAGTTCAGTAGAGTTTAAAATAGCTATATAATAAATTTATCCATCTGAAATGGCACCAAAGTGATCATAGACAGTAAGCAATACAAAACTCAACACAGGAAATTTCTTACAAAAAAGGGGAAGATGTTGATATCAGGCTTACGTATGATTTGACAGCTGCTCGCTTGTGAGACAAGAAGATGAGGAGGAAAATACATCACAACTGTTGGATTGGGATTTTGTAAACTGGAGAAACATACCACTTTTCATGTTAGGATTGTATAATGTTGTAGAAATTGATTTGGGATAACAAAGGGACTCAAGAAGAATGAAAAATAGCAGCTAAGAGTGTTAAAAGTAGGAAAAGGACATAGCTTAGTTGTGCAGGAGGCAAATCTCATCTATCAGTGCTGAGTGGGAGGGGAGAAAGGGACAGAACCTTTCACTGTCACCGAGGGAATGGTGAAATATGTTGAGTTCATCTAAGAGGAGCAGTAAGTGATGAGCTAAAATATGGGAAAAGTGTTTTAAATCCTGAAATTATTTGATCTTTTTGCTGGTTTAGTGCAATCAATGGTAACCAATACTATTCTATCTTTAAATTATTGAAAAATTTACTGAATCATGATATTTGAGTCATACACAACTGTTTTACAGGCAGAGCAATGGTTGATGTAATCCTGCAGGCTGTTGAATGTGATGGACCCAAGTTAAAGGACTGCTTACCTGCTATTGGTGCCCTGAAACACCTGAGAGAGTGGCACTCTGCACGGATCACTATTGCTGCAAGTGATGCTAAAGGGTATGGCATTTATTTCAGGGCCAAAACAAGGTCACTTCTGCGTTGTGTTAGCACAGATCAGTGGGTTGAAATAAAACCAGCTTGTTGGGTACTTTACATGTGTATTTTGAAAATACATAAATTAGTAGTCTGTTGTTGTATGAATGGAGGAATTACTCATCCTGATTTATTGTAAATGCATGTCCTAACCAGAGAAGCAGGCAAAAAAGCCAGTCCTTTGCACTTGTTTTCTGTGGGAGCAAAGAGTGAAATATTTTCTCTCCCCTTTCCATGGGTTCAGTATGCATACAAGGTTTTCATGTTGTATTATGCTATGGGATGACTTGTATATTGATTGTAGTTTTCCAGGTTTTTTTAAATTAATCCAACGTACTGTTGGTTTTACTTTAAATTTTATATTACCCTTGATATTACTTTTCAGGAAGGAAAAGTAGATTGCCTCATTTGTCCCTTTTGAAAAAGGAGTATAAGCACTCTATTACTTCCTGCATGTTTTTCAAGATTCTTTTAGTATGAAGAGTTACTGAGACTATTAATTCAAGTTGAAATTAATTCCAGTAATTTGCTTTCTGTCCTCCTCTAATTGACATGTAAAAGCCATGATATATCTCACCATATGGATCACAATGATTTGGGTTTTTTATCCTATTAAGTGAATGATTGTGTGGATACTGAACAACTTGGCAAGGTCTGCACTTTCCTTCCCCTCCATGCCCAAAAGATTGAAATTTGCTTCATAGAATAGATGGTTAAACTTAATCCTAAATTCATAAAGCTGTTTAAAAAGGTGAACGTTCAGTTCTTGGATGTAATAAGCAATATACCTACTATACAGTAATTCCTGAGGTATGTGGAGGATAAGAAAGTTACTCAGTGACTTTCATGAGCACTTGATCTCAGTGCTCATTGATATGATCCTGTGGAACCAGCTTTTGACTGAATAAATTTTTCTGCTGCCTTTTACGTAAAGTGAGATTATTTGGGTATAGATGATCTCTAATGAAAGCTATTTCACTTATTCTTCCTGTTCTGTTGATGGTGCTGATTTCCCTTGGAAGACAGACTGCCAGCAGAACCCACTACTGGCTGTTCTCTGTTGTTGAATTTGGATTATGCTTGTGCTGCAGTCATGTCTCCATTTAGAAGGTTAACTACAAACCATCTGGACAGAGCAGTGATAGTCCCACTGAAGGCTGCCAGGCTTTGCTCCAGCTTCTAGCACCCGACATTACTACGCTGTGCTTGCAGCTAGCCATTGCCAGTCTTAGTTTATGTCAAAGTTCTTTGCTGTCACTGTCATGGAGCATATGAGCAACTTCCTTTACAGGCCCTGAACGAGCAATTCTATATTTTTTACTTTGTGGAATGTAGAGCTGTTATAAAGCTTTATTGTCTGTCTTGACATGCTCAAGATTGTTCCATGCTAAGAGGTCATAGGTAAATTCAGTCAAACTGCACTGCATTTTTATTTGTAATGCTAAATTCAGTAAGATTAATTCTTTGATATTTTTACAGCAGCTGGCAAAAGATTGCAGACTATCTGTCAGCAGACTTTGTATCTTCAGATGATATCATGAATATTATTGATTTAAATGAACTCTGGAGGGGAAAGATTCAGATATGGGAAAGAAAGGTAAAATAACTTTTATTTTATTATTGTAGTGATTATTTTTTTAAGCATCTATATACCTCATTTCAAGCATTTATTATGCACTGCATTTTATGCTTTAAGCCAAATTTGGGTTCAACTATGTAATTCAAAGGTGATGTGCAATGTGTCTGGGTGGGTGGTAGGAGGAGATGATAAATGAGACCAATGCATCAAGATCTGAACTTCAGAAATTCAGATGCTCCCCTCTGAAAATTTTTTTAAAACTTACTGCTCAAAATTAGATTGTTTTGTATCTATCACAAATCATTGTCATGTGACTGTAAGTCATTGTTGCAAGCTTATGTCTAATGTTTCTGCAAAACCTTTGATATTTAATATAAACCTTTCGCCTTTGTGACATTGTTTACATTTTTTAGTATTATGATTTTGGTTTTAATAGGTGGTTATCTAAGTATAGTCTTTTTCTTAGATCTGATAAAAATAATATTAATTGTTAAAAATAACACATCTGACTATCTGAAGAAAAATAATTTTTACCTCTTTTTGACACATTTATTGTCTTCTTTTTTTTTTTTTTTTCCAGTTCGCATCAGGAGTAGATTTTCCAGAATTTTGCATAAAGAGCACTTCAGCCAAGACATTCAGGACTGCAAATTTAAGTTCTTGCTTTGCTGATAAAAAAGAGTGCCAATTGAGGAATACTGATACTTTGCCAGAAGCAAGTATTATTCTTGATCTTTGAGTTTTAGAATTCATCTGCTTTACTTTCCAGAGAAAATTAGTAATTGGGGAAACCTTAGTCAGAACTGAAAGTTAAGTAGAAAAGTAATTATTGGATTAAATTGAGGCATACTTCTTTTGTACACCTGGGTTGTCAAAACAGGTTCTTGAAACTTTATCTGTTTGTTCTTATGAATACAATACCAAATTTTTTTCAAGTAGAAATTGAGACTTTGTTCAGTTTAATACTCAAAAGAGTTAAATTATGAATTCTGTGTTTGTCTAATCCTTCCCACTTAATTTTAAAAGTTGGGGTTTGTTTTTTTTTTTGCACTCTTGGTGTTTCATGTTTTTTACTGGAAGTAGGTAATTGATGGGAACTCCAGAATCATATGTGTTGATGAAAACAAAAATGAGCGTTATGAAAATTGGTATTGGTTTGAAGTTTGTTATTTTCATGGTTAAAACATATGCATTTTGTCTCTTCCTGGTAGAGATCATATTTTATTTTGGGTAAGAGTTAGAACTCATTTGATGCACATTGTTGACATTCTACGAAGTCAGATTTATTTTAAAAAATTAAATACCTTCCTTTTTTACATAATTTAGTGTGATGTTGCAAAATGTATTCCCTTATACCTCTTTCAGATGTTATCTGCAAGGCTAATACCTCCAGCAAAACATTTGAGGAACTTGTGGTGATACAACATCATATACAGTGTTATATATATAGGTTGTTTTTTGATCTCTTTTCAGGTTTTTCATTACTATGGTCCTGCCCTGGAATTTTTACAGATGGTGGTGCTCTCTGATCTACCTTCCATTTTTATATCAGATCTGGAGTTTGAGCTGTATCCTTTTTTTAAGGATCTAAACTACTACTGATAATTGTCTGTAGTAGAGAGAAAAAGATCAGCATCTACCCATGCAAGTAACAGACAGATGAGGATAGGCAAGGGCTCATCCCATTCTAGCCTGGCAAAATAGTCATAGTGATTCTTCACAACTGGATTTTTGAATTTTGAAATTTAAGTTACATTAGTAGTAACCATGTGTTATTTATACTATTGCACATACAATTTGTCTGTTGATGTGCATTCTCTTTGTGGGGAAAAAATAGAGAAATGTTTATTCTTTAAGTTTAAAAAAAGCCTCAAGCTTTTCTAATGAATCAATGTAGCATGCTTCACAATATAGGAACATTTGTTTACAAACCATGTTCTTACTGTGCAGCGGCAAAATCTGTGGCAACCTTTAGCAGAGGAGTTCTGTCTTGAGTGTGTGTGCTGCAGAGATCTCAATATTTATTACTATTGGTTTTTAAAAGTATGTACTTTTGGTTCTAGTCTTGGTGTACCAATAATACTTCAGGATGTATAAGCCTGCTATGATTTTGAATATATAAATATCTGTTTCTGTCAGCCTATAATAGAGATGTCAGTGGAGTATTTTGTCATATAACATTTTCAAGTGTATCACTTTACCTGTAAAGGTGAGTTTTTATGTTTTGTGATACTGTAGTATCAAAAATTAGATGCCTGCAGTGCTTCTTTCAAATATAATGGTAACCTGGTTTCTAAAATAGAGGTGCATAGTTCTTTGTGGAGATGAGGTTCCTTAAACTGTTCTGTTCAGGAGCCTGTCAAGAAAGAATACCAAGGAGACATCTACACTGCTTTTGGACCAGATTTCTTTTCTCTCTGGGAAGGTAAAACCTTTTTATTTATGTATAGCAGAAAAATGAAGGTATGTAAATTGCCTATGAAAGATATGGTAATAATATTTTTAAACCTGGTCTCTGTCTAAGCTTCTTCAATATTTAGTTCTAAAGCAAACATGGATTTCAAAGGTCCATGCTATACATACCTACTGAACAGTTTTCTCTTTATCTCAGCTAAGTTTCAATCTCCTAAAACACTTTCTAGTCCTATCCTGACAGATTTCTGCTATCGTAGTTGAACTATTGATTTTTTTAGCAAAACGCAGGCATTTGTGCAGCCTACAAAATGTATCTAGCTACTGTGAAATGGTAAGCTTTTTTATTTTATGCGCATATTCTGATTTTGGATAAAAAGAGTTCATGAAACATTTACAGTCCTACTTTTTCCCTCCTTCCTCTGCTTGGAATGATAGTGAGATTATTCATAGCCAGAGTATTAGTTTGAAGGTGTTTTTCCTGAACATTCTATCACCTTTACATGCGAGGTAATGCATCTTGTTTAGGAAAGATTTTTAGTGTTTATGAAATAAATCTATGGCATTCAAAACATAACCTGCGCTTTGAAAATGGTGATACACTTATTACGAATAGCATGTGGTTTTTGTTTACTGTGAAGATGGTATCCCATTGTCAGGCTGTATGTTACTTTTTCAGTTTGTTATTTGGGTTTTTAGTAACTTTTTTTCTCCCCTGCTACTCCATTCTCCGTTAGCTGAGCCAGAAAAGAAAAGGTCCTTTTTCTAATGCTGTACTAAAAGTATCTTTGAAAATGCATTTATACTGGTAAATATCCCAGGTAATCTTCATTTTACTTAAGAGCACTGAACACTTGGTCATACACATTTTACAATCAAAGGGCTCGCAAGTCTACTAGTGTTTCTGAAGAAGGAGCCCAAACAGTGAAAACCCATTCTCAGGTTACTTTTTAGAGTCTGCACATGTTGAATTGAGTATGTTTTGAAAATAACAGTTTCTCATAGGGATTTCTTTCAGTCTGCTACTGGAAATATTGCATGTTTGTAGGATTTTCTAATACCTGTAATAGCATTGCTATATTGCTTGAGTATTCAAATATATCTGCAATTTTTCTGTTAGTGCTTAATGGCCTGAAGTCTGTGTAGAAACATGGACATAGTCCAATATCTGGTTAAGAGACAAGGGTAATATGTAGGAAGGAAAATTAAAAAAATAATTTTTTTTCATAGGAATACAGAGTCACTGATGGCAACTATTATCCTTGAATTCTCTTTTCATTCTGGATACTGCTCTACAAAAACATTTGCAGCCCGGCTATGGAGACACTTGCAATACATAATAAATACCTTTTTATGTATGAAATGGAAATTCAGCAGTTAATGATCTCTCAGTTGGACCAAAAAGTAAACACAATTTTTACAGCTTTTGTGTCAAATGCAGTTCCGTTTTGATTGATGTGAATGACAGATATGTTAATTTGAGATGTTTTTCTTCAGTTCAACTAGATTTGAAATAATGCCAAATCAGTAGCTCAAGAATTAAGGGTAAAACAGGTTTCACTGATATTGCATGTCTTATATTTGGTCTCCTAATTTAGGTGGGAGCTTTATTTACATTGCCATGTAATGTAAGCAGTGTAGTGATCCCATCGCCTGCCCAGCTGAGCACCAAGAAATGGAAGGAATATATGGCTAAGAAACCCAAGGTCATTTCTGGTATGTGTATTTTGTTTGGTTATATGTGTGTGTGTGTACTTGAGATAATTTTAGTGAGGACGATCCTGTAAAGACCCTATCAAAGAGGATCTTTAATGAAGGCCTTCAGAGACAATTATGGAAAGATGTCCACAAAAGCCCACCCTCCCAGGGGTGAGTACATTTATAGGTTTTAGGAAATAAGCATAATTGATAAAAAGCACTTAGGAGGACAAGTGGTAATGTAATTCCCCCCAGGTCAAGCCCCTTCTCTGGAGCTCCCCCTTCAGCACTAGTTGTACTTTGTCCATGAAAATGTATCTTGAAGAGTTTTTCTGGGCCTTGGTTCCCTGGAAGAGCCAAGATAGCACAGAGCCTTGTACCTCCTGGGGCTTGGAGCTCTGGAATTTTGTCTTTCTTGGTTAGGGAAAGGCTGTGGAAAAGTATTGGGAAAACTAGCTATAATACAATAGTTGATCTAGGGATAGGCTGTGGAAAAGTATTGGGAAAACTAGCTATAATACAATAGTTGACAGAGTTACAAATATATGTGTGAAGAATACAGAGAACGTATAAAAGCAAAAAGGCAAAACGTAAATGGCATCAGCACTATAAAAATTTAAAGTTATCTCTGCATGTTTGGAAGTAGTAGAGTATGGAGGGTGTAGAGTTGGTCACAGCAGCAGCATTTGTATTTGTTGGAGAGATACTACTGATGCAGTCAAATGAGCACAAGATCCCCAGTATCTGCAGGATTTTTGCCCTGTGCTCCAGTGGAAAGATTTGTACAAGTATTAATTAATGTGTGATCAGTAATACACAATAGGTTCTTATAAAACCTCTTGTGTAAAATTTACTTGAATAAAATAGGAGGAGAAACACTGCTTCTTAAATGTATTTTTTGTTTAGTTGAAAACTGTTGATTTTTTAGTGCCTACCACTAATCTGAGTATACTAAGGATTTGTGAATCCTTAATCTCTTCCATCTGTGGGAAGGTATAATTCTTGGTATTGGTGGTTCTTAAATGCTAAGATTAAAATGTGAAATAAAAGTTTACCCATCAGGAATCAGCATTGAGATGCCAAGATAAACTGGAAAAGGAATATATTTGAAATGACATGGGAAACAGGACGATAAGACAATGTTTCTGGAATATTTTTTCTTTATTTTTCTTTTTTCTTTCTCTTAATTTATGTATTGAGGTAGTGATGTTTCCCCTCTTTTCCTGTATCCAGTTATAAATTTTCAACAAACACGGGAATATATTATTTGTTGCTAACAAAAAGTTATGATACTAATAAATGTTAAGTTCCCATAGAGTTAATTGAGACAGTATTGCAAATATCTTATGAAATGAAAATATTTGACTTTTGAAACTTAATACATCAAGAAGTATTCATTATCTTGACTGCTATGTCTTCCAAGGTGTTATAAAATGTTTTCTGTGTGAAAAGATAGCAAACCCATCCTTTCACTGTTACTGTCAGGTCCCACATTAATTTACTTTCAAAACTGCATACTATATGCCAGTGTTCAAAAATAGAATGTCTTTATCTTTCATCCAGGCACAAGGGTAAAGCAGGGAGTGAAGCTTTTATTAATGAATAATGCAGTGTCCTTGGGAAGAGTGTGTACAATACTTCCTTTTCTTCTAGGGTTGTGTGTTTGTCCATTGAACACTTACATTATTTTGATGCACATATGCAGAAAGGCCTGTTTTTATCCAGCAGAAGAGAAACTTCTCTTTGTTGTTTCATGGTAAAAATGTAACTTTGCCAGTTAAAGGCTTGCCTGTTGCTTAGCCCAGTTAAAGAGCTCTTGGTTGGTGATTAGTAAGATTTCTTACAGAACAGAAGAAAGCAAATGAAAGCATTTTTATGGTGGATTATAGTTTGTTTTAAAGATGTTTTCCTGAGGGTGTTTCACAGTTATGTCTTGATGTTTGTTAAGTTCCAGAAATTGAACTGAAGGGAGAATCTTGCCGATATTATTTCTTGCTACAAGGCAATGGCTCTGGAGGATGTAAAGCAACCTTGATTCATTCAGCTGGCCAGATCAATGGGATGGCCACTCTTGCTGCAGTAAATGGAAAGCTAAAGGCAAAAGCAGAAGAAACAGAGTCAGGTAAGAGTAATCATTTATTAATGAGTATCTGAATCCAGGCAAATGGTAAGTTCTAAATTTTGTAAGTTCCTTTTATTCACTCCAGTCAGTATTAAAAGAGGGAAAACGAGGAATATTACATCTTTTATAAAAGTGTCTTTTAAGAATATTTTTCCAGATCCATAAGAAAATATAGTAAGAGCTTATTTATACACAGAATTTACTGCTACTATATTTTTAAAACTGATTATGCAAAGTTATTGTCAGTTATTTCTCATAATCGAGATAAATTGAAAAATTTTTATTGTAAAGGGATGTACAGATAATATTATTGCAAAACAAATTTTTGAAAGCTTAAAGTTTAGAAAGTGTGTGTTGTTGGTGTAAAGAGTGACCAGCCTGTGCCAGAAATCTGTGTAAATATCTCTTGAAAGTCCTGTTTCACTGATGATTTAAAATAAAAGCTGCAAGGCCAGTAGACAAGTTGAGTTTTGTTACAACCTTCAGTCCCTTTGCCGATGTCCATGTTACTGCAGAGTGTTTAGGGTATGAGCTGGCACTCCTATCCTAACTTCTCCACTAGGGAAGAGCAGGTATGCAGCCATTTATCATGGAGTAGTTGTCATGTTACAACTACACCTACCAGATAACTCTGCTAACTCCTGTATTTGTTTCAATAACACTGGCAGAGAAAAGGAGCACAGTGACCTGCATCTTATCTACTTAATTCCTTATTATTGAAATAAATCTGTGTGTGATATGACTGACTGCTCAGCCATTTATCCTAATTAAAATCCCATTAGTACAGTGTCAGAAGACTGAAAGTCCTTGACTGTATGTTAGGAGAAAGCTTTTCTTCCCTGGTATCAAACTTAAGATCTTTTTACCTTCTTTAAATGTTAGTCATGTTGTGTTGTCATTATACAGGTTTTGTACAGAAATTCAAAAATAGTTAGGCATCTCTTTGAAATGATCCTCCTGATGTCCCCTTGGAATTAATTAGTTTGGTTTTTTCAATGATTAGCCATATTTGAAAGTCTGTTTTTTTCTTTTGAATATGAGATTTTTATGTTTATATCTTCTATTAAGTAATGACTCCAAAGAGAGATTTGTAATAAAAATTTGTCCTAATCTGTACAGGCTTTAATATTTCTGACTGTATCAAGTCTCTGCCATGCTATTGTGGAGAGGATATTTTACAGAGAGAAACAAAACTGTCTCGTCTCCAAGTGTTTGCCTTGAAGGAGTATCTCAGTAAGTAATGGGAAAGCTCTGGTAATTTTCAAACTAGTATTTAAAAGGTCTTTATTTTCAAGTTGGATGGGATGGCTCACCTTACAAAACCGAAGTTGTTTGACAGCCAAAGTGTGTTGATCACTTTGTGAAGAAATAGCAAAAGTTTAAAAAGAAACTTTGAAGTACATCCATGATTATCTGTCAGATGATGGAAAAGAGAACACTGAGTTAGTGTTGGTGGTTGTTACATGAATACTCTGAATTTTTGAGCATAGCATTGAAATAATTCTATGCAATTCTGTTATGATTTCCCCAAAATCCTTTACTACTGGATATGCCTTCTACAAAAATAAGAATTCTGGTTGGGTTTTTCAGCTTTTTAAAGTTTTATTCTTTCTTTGAAAAGTCTTAAGCAGCAGAGAAAAACCATGCATTGGAGATTTGTTAGATTTATCATGATGCATCATTCATAATAAAAACTTGAAGGATCATCCTCCTTAGATTTTTATGACTTTGCAGAGAGGTACATTTGAGTATCCTGATTTTTTTCCATCTTAAGTCCATTGCTTAAAGAGACTCAATTAAAAGAAAAATGCTTCAGAGATATTGCCTTGCTTATTGAAAATGTTACGCTGTGGAGGTAGTTTAAGTGTATTATCATTAACAGAATAACAGTTTAAAGAAAATAAGTTCTCTGTAAGTAGTCTTGTCGCCCACCCTACACCCCCTGCTAACTTAGTCATTCTCACTGTCTGCTTCAACCCTAAGGCTGGGCCTGCTTTAGAGCTTGAGTTTTAGCTTCTTTTGAGTGGGTCACCCATTTCCATTAAGAGGCTGAGTACGAGCAGTTAGGATTTGCTGGTTGCCCTAAATCATACCAGAATTACCTGACCCTTGATTTTTATGGCCAAAGAGACCAGAACAGGCTGTCAGTTACACTGGAGCCCTTCACATTTAGTCTCAGCAAGTCCAGGTGTTTGTCTCTGGGGGATTCAAACTTGGATATACTCAGAAATGCATATACCCAGAAGTTAAAGGACTGTAAAAACATGAATCACATGTGACTTCAGCTACTCTCTCTGCTGGTTTTTCGCTTGTCTTTGGAATAAATCTCCCATGTCTTACTGGTACAAGAGTAAGTGTCAAGATAACTTACTCTTGTTACAGGTTTTGGGTGCGGATTTTCTTGTGTAATTGTCTTTTAGCAGGCTCTTGTTGTTCTTTGTTACTTAGCAGATGCAGTACCTTTTATTTTTTCTTTTATAGAGAGAAAGGAAATGACCAAGCAGCCTGTAGTTATTTCTACCAATGAGTTTAAAAGCTTATTAAAACTCACAAGAGAATGTTTTTTGGACCTGTGCAGCACTAGTCTTCCTAAACCTCTTCTACAGAAGGTCTGCAGTAAAACCAGGTCATGCACTGAGACTCGTGGTAAGTATTTTTATTTACAAAATACACTGCTTATTTTCCTTGGATATTTTCTCATATTGGTTGTCAGTATTTTACTAAAAGGCGTAAAGTCTTTTTACCAAGAGAGGAAAATGTGGAAAGAAAATTCTAGGCTTATTTTGCAAACTGAAATTACCCTTGCATTTCCTTTTTCTTTCTTGGGGTGAAAGGAAAAAAAATTTCCAGAAAACATTTCTGGTTGCATCACCAGATAGATTTTTATTTACATACTTTTAGAGAGATTCATTGAGGAATGTCTGTATATCAAGGACTATATTTCTTTAAGGAATGAGTTTCTTTATTTAGGGTTGTCCAACATGTATTCTTGCAGACCCTGATTTAATAGAGCCAAATCCATTGGAGTGGCCAGAAAGACACGTTCTTCAGAATTTGGAAAACTTTGAAAAAAACAAACAAAAAATGAGGTAATAATGAACTACTGGTGATTCTTTTTTTTTTTTTTGGAGTAGCCATTAAACTTTACTATAGAGGAACTTTATATGTTGATAACCGTACTGTAAACTGTTTATACATATTGATAATCTTTCAAAGAAAATATTGCTTAAGGCTAAAACTATTTTCCTGTCAATTTCCAAAGGTGTAATTTAAAGAAGTATTGTTCTGATTTTTATTGACTAAATGCAACTGGAAACTAGCTAAAAGTATAATAGTTCTTAAACTAAATTACCAAAATGGCACTTTTAGAAAATAGTAGCCATGGTAGAAAAACATACAAAAGCTTTTCTTTCTCCAAACATACCCTACGTAATAGAGATAATTTAGCTGGTTTTTGTCAACATGTGCAATGTGTTCTAATCTCCTCATATTTCCTAAATATTCAGTACTTAATATCATAGATCAAGTAATTTTGAAGTCAAAGAACCTATTGGTTTTATGTTTAAAATTTATATTTAGTTATCTTTTGCCTTCAGTGCTGTTCAAATGAAACCCATAGGTCTTTCTGTCTCTTAAGACAGCCTGTTGATTTCAGCTGAGCTCTCACTTTATACAAGACTTGTCAAGGAATGTTTAGGTTGGATATCAGGAAAAGGTTCTTTACCCAGGGTGTGGTTGGGCACTGAGCAGGCTCTCCAAGGCACTGGTTACAGCACCAGCCTGACAGAGCTCAAGAGGAGTTTGGACAATGCTCTTGGACACATGGTGTGACTCCTGGGGGTGTTGCTGTGCAGGGCAGGAGTTGGGCTCAGTGATCCTTGTGGTCCCTTCCAGCTCAGCTTGTGCTGTGATTCTGTGGCTTAATGGTCTTTGGTGGTGTTAATGCTCTTGCTGACAGACCTGTAGAGGCAAGTGTCCAACTGGCCTTTTCTGAGTCACTTCCATCCCATTTCTCTCTTTCAAGTACCATAGGTGGCCATGGCTTAGACTGCATGTGATAAATTCTCACATTAGCTTTCTCATGGTGGTATTATCATCATCATCATCATCGTCATTATTGTTATTATTATTATTGGCTTTTGTTTCTCAAACAGACAAAGTTCTTCCTTTTAATTAGCTGTCAAAAAGCTTCCTGAAGGACCTTTCTGTTACATAGTCAGTGTTTATTTTGTTGTTCATAATCTGAACTGAGTATCTTTCTTATCCTGTGTCAGGATACAACGTGTTGCTTACAGAGGGAGAAAAGTGAGAATTTTTATATACTTGATTGAAGACACTAAAAAAGAGTGAAGAGTTGCTTGCAGTAGTGGCTTTATTGTTCCTTTCCTGTATATTGTATATTTTTATTTTTTTTTTAATGGGAACCAATTTTTGGTCAAAAAATAGAAAAAAGGGGTGAATAATCGTCTTCCCATGTTGTATTTCATAACCAAGCTCTAAATTCTTGAAGAAACTACTTTTTCAGTCGAATGTTAGAGAATTTGCACCAGTTATCATGTTCTGTGTCGTGACCATCTGTGTTAATGTTCTCAAGGAGCAACTTTGTTCATTTTACTTAGGTACTGGATTAATTGCTTCAGAGTAGCAATGATTTAATTTTTTAAAAAAATATTAAATGAGTTTCTGAATTTATTAAAAAAAATAATCTTACATTACTCTTTGCTCGCGGCTTTTTTTTCCAGAGTTCCTCTGTTTGCACATTCACCTGAGCAGTTGCTGGGACACAAAGACGGCCAGAGGGAGTCCCTGACGTTGCTGGATGCTAAAGAGCTGCTGAAGTATTTCACCCCAGAAGGGCTGCCCGTGGGGGATCTCCAGCCACTCCAAGTTCCCAAGCGGTATGATCAGCATCTTAAAGCCACTGAAGACCAAACTCAGAGCTGGTGTAGGGGGTGTAAATAAGGGTGGAATGGGAGTCACAGAATGGCCTAAATGAATTTGAGTTTATAACATCCTTACATCACGTGCCTGCCAGTGAAATCAACTGTTTTGTTCTCCAGTCAGTATTGCTATTTAGTTCTTTCAGAAGCTGAAATGGCTGGAGATGATGACCCTGTTCCTAGACATTTAAATAACAAAATCATTACCTAAAGCATAAACATGTTACTGGTAGAGCCCTGCCAAGCTGCTGCTGCCCTATGTGTCCATTTCCAAAAGAGTATTTGTACTAAAGCAGAAGCTACTATGGTAGAGCTTTAATTTTTTTTGTGTGATTTCTTTCAGTGGAGGGGAGTCTTAGGTGGAAAGTTAAAATAAGAAAATATCTGAGCCTATTAACTGTGTTTGTCTCCTGTCATGCTTTTTATAGATACATGGAGTTACTGGAATAATTTTCAGGATCTGTACATCTGTTAGAGTTAAGGCCAGACTCTATAAGAGTCAGATAGTGTTTGTAGAAGCAGAACCTGTACTATTTCTGCACTGTGTCACAGAGTGCTAGGTAGGCAAGGTAGTCTTTCCAGTCACTACAATTATATTTGTTGACCTTTTTAATACTGAATAATAGAAACTATGATGCAATTATTTGATACAGCCCTTGATCCTTTTTCAGACTTCATTATATGTAATAAGAGTGCTTGTGTGAGAGAAAGGTTCTGTAGTACTTTGGATTTTCTGTAGGATTTTTGAGACTTCTGTAAAATAGTTACTGAAGTTTTGAAACTGAACTGAGTATGTTCTAAGCAGACAATTCAAGCAAATTAGAAAATATGCAGTAAAGACTTAGAATCTCCTACTGGGTTGTTAATGAGTGAAGAAGATTTAGAATTTTGGCTAAAATATTTTTCTTCCAACTAGTGTGGGAAAGAAGTGAATAATTTTTCACTAAAAAATCTATCTTTTTAGTCTTTGATTTTTTTTCCAAAGCCTCCAGAGAAGCACTATAGCATAGAATACCTTGAGTGTCTTGAATGATTTGCTTTGAGCTACAGATGAGTGAGATCTGAATTTGAATTGAGTCCAGCAGAACACTGTACTCCGAGCTGCTCGCTCCCCTAGCAGATGCTTTGACTGAATTCTCTGGAATTATGAGGAGCTTGGCACAGTAGGTGATCAAGAACAGTGAATATGGACCTAGGGATCTTCCTGGCCAACAGAAGGATTGAAGTGATTTTGAGAGAGATTGGTGAATTAAAGGCATGCTCACTTGTTTTCTGTGTTTGAGCTTAGATAGAAGTTTGATAGATTACAGTTTTGGCTGACAGTCTTTCCAAATTATCATTTTTGCTAGATTCAATATCACATCTTTTCTGGATGTTTTTCTCAGATTATTCCAGTGGAAATGGTACAGAGGCAGTCTATATGCATAAAATTTGAAGCAATGTGTAAGTTTCAGATTCTGTTACATCTTGCCTTTGTGTCTTCCCTTCTTTAGAGATGAATGTCAGGGTATGTTGAGATCTGGCAGCAAGATCTTTCTTTCTGCCTTGCTATGGCTTATTCCCTTGATATACTCTCAAACAAATACACTCTTAGGATTTAGCTGTAGAGAGTTACTAGCTGGAATTGCAGTATCCCAGGAAACAAGCCATTAGTTCTGAAGTCTGGGAAAGATGAGTGTTAGGTGAGGCAACAATTTGAAGCTGAAGGGGAGGAATTCACTACTTACAGGGTGTGATTGAGAAATTGGAGGTCACTTCCCAGTTTCTCTCAGTTCATTCTACTACTCAGGTGTCCCATTGTGATATTTGCCTAGTTTTATTGGTAACTTGTTTGGAGCAGTGACCTTAACAATCTAAGAAATGTCTAAGAGCTTCTGTAACAATAATAGCTCAGTAGGAATCAGTTGAACTTAAATTCTCACTTCAATACAGATTTAATTGTCCATTGATGCTTTAGCCTAGGGGCTTAGCTGCAAGACATGCTGTTCTGTTCTTCATATGTGAAAGCATTTTGTTTCTGATTTTTGGAAATATAATTTATCCTAATGGTAACTGGTTAAAATAGATCTTTATTTTTCTCCTTTCAGTGAAAATGCATTTCTTCTGACACCAGAGCTTACTCCTCGAAAACTCAGAGGTTTGCCTTTTGAAAAAGCAGCTGGATGCCATTATCATGGACTTGAGTAAGTTTCCTGGCTTCTTTTCTCAGATTTATGTTTTCGTTTCCAGTCTAAGTGTAATTAGAAATGTTTCAAGCAACATATTAAGAGTATGTTAATTATGGATTAAATGTCAGTGGTTTCAATTGCAACATTGCTGCCTTGATGGTAATGTAGAAACATTGAAGGTCTTCTTTTTCTCAGTTGTACTGCTGTGTCTCTTCTCAGTACCTCTGAAAATTTTAATTCAGAGCTAAAAATGGCAAGGGAATTAGTATGTATCAAGTTCCTAGTGAAGCACATGCTTTTAAGTACATACATAGTTTCTGCTTTGATATTTAATTGTAGACACTTCAAGACTGATAGTCAAAAGGTTTCATGAGACGTGCTGTGATGCTGCCACCTGTATGTTCAGGGAGCCTGAAAACACCAGCAGGCAAGTGTTAGTGGTAACAATGTTCAAAAGGATCCATATGGCCCGGACTGTTAGTTAATCTCAGCCAGCCAGTAATAGTTATTTGTCAAAGCAAACAAATGGGCAAACTGTCACATAATGTAGCTGTATAAAAATAGTTTAGAAAAATACAAATATTGACATTGAGGAGAAAAGGGAAAAGGCTATAGAAATACTGGAGTAGAAAATTAAGCATAACTCTTCCATACAGATAGTCTTATTGCAGTATATATTAAGAAATGTCGTGGATACCAAGCATAGTTCAGTTTTTGTGCAAGCTTCTGCTGCCTTCTAGAATCACATTTTCAGATTATCATAATTGACTAACAATGCTGCTGGTATTTTTCCCTATCAATTTTACAAATAGTTTGATTAAGTCCGTATTTAATGTCTGGTAATTTTAGCCAAGTTCTCTAGGGCAGTGGAGCATTCCTATCTCTTTATTTTAGTCTCTTTTTCTAAACAGTAACTCATGAGCATATTAACCTTTTTAGATTTGTAATAAGTAGCACAGAGAGGCAACTGGGTAGGAAAGAGAAATGCATATGGTAGGTGTGGGAAGAAACCACTCGTCTGTTGTCTGTTGCTGTGGGGTATCTTGCTGCCCTGCCTGACCTCAGCAAGGAGTGTGCCTGAGATTTCCAATTAGGCACAGCACAGCTCGTGCTGCCTCTTCTCCTAGCAAAATGTGACAGATATGGACCACAGAGGGGCCTGGGTATTGTGGAGAGGAGGAAGATCCTGGCATGTTAATATTGCAGGGGCATTGTGCTTAGCAGAATGGGAGGGAAGCAGTAGAGTGGGAGGTAGTGTATGACCAGAACATATTGTAACAAGAGTATTGTGGTTTTGGGGCAGATGTCTTTGGTACTATGCAGTTTTCGTCTGCCCAGCTGCTGTATTTATGTTTGGAGGTAAAGTCTTGTCAAAAAAACAAGGAGTAGCAGTTATCATAGAATGGTTTGAGTTGGAAGGGACCTTAAAGATCATCTAGTTGCAGCCTCCATGCCATGGGCAGGGACACCAACATCCCACATCTTTTTCCCCAGACCTGCTCTTAATTAATTTTTCACTCAGCCTGTATTTGTGCTGTCACTGCCCTTACCCAGGTGCAGGACCTTGCACTTGGCCTTGTTGAACCCCATCAGGTTTGCACAGGGCCACCTCTCAAGCCTCTGGATGGGATCCCTTCCCTCTAGTGATGACCATGCACGGAGCTTGGTGTCAATGGCAACCTGCTTTCCTGAAGTCCAGGGGTGAGCTTGCTGTGTGCTCTCCTTGCTGCCCTGCGGATCCCAAACTCCACTACTTAAAGGTCAGCGAAGCCAAGGCTGCCCTTGAGCTTCGCATTCCCCACCACCCCCTCCTTCCTGATGGGCTCAAGGTCCAGCGTAGCACCTCACCTCACTCGGAGAAGGAAGTTACCAGTGCATGCCAGGAGCCTCCTGGTTTGTTTCTGTCCTATGTATTGGCTCTCCAACAGATTGTTGGGATGGCTGAAGTCCCCCATGAAGACCAGGACTTGTAAACATGAGGCTGTTCGTATTTATGATTAAATCAAATTTTTGGTGTAATGAACGTGTGCCAGACACTTGAATGCTGTTTTGCAAAGAGAAGGCAATTGCCATTAAAACAGTGAGTAAAATGGCAATTTAACTTCTCAAATTAAATTTGTAGGGTATGTGACTACTCAGGGGACTGAGAATATAAATAAGAAAAAATATCTTGACATTTTTAAGTTCAGACAGCTTACTCTCTTATCAGATAATGAATTTATTTCTAGTGGAAAGTCTTCCTCAGCTGTAGAAATTGATTCATCAGCCAATTATTAGAAAAATTAATTTCTCCCTGAATATGAAAATACTCTGAAGAAAATGGAAACATCAGAACTAGCAAATTTAACATGACTCCATGTTAAGAGATAAAAGTAAAGAATGTGTCTTGCATTCCTCAGAGTAGGAAACATTGCTGAGCAGTTTGAAGTGGGGTCTGAGCAAGACCTAACACTGCTCAAAGCAATTTGTAACAAGGAGGCTGGAATAATACAGGATTTACTGTTACCTTTCCCTGAACTACAGGAAGTTATTGGGTGATGAGACACTGTTCTCTTGCAAGGAATCCTGGAAATCATTTACACCAGAGAAAAGTTAGTTAAGTCTCATTTTGTGTTACCTCATGTGTATGTTCCACTGAATTAGCACTTGTTCATTTGTTGTCTTTCAGCCCCACTGTTGTTAATACAGTTTGTTCTGTTGAGTTGGTTGATCAAACCACTTATTCATTATAGTCAATAGGAAGCTTGTGCTTGTTCAGTGATACCTTTTTGTATTTTTAGTACTTAAAAATTGTGAATCTCTCATGCAGCAGTGTTTATCTCAGACAAAGCTAAAAGTTGCATTTCAAAGAGTTTGTTCAAGGAAAAAGTTCTGCTAATGTCCATGGAAATCTTATAAGAACAGGCTAAAGAGTTACAAATAGTATATAATTCAGCTTCTTTGTTGGAGTTGGACTTAAGTATAGCAAAATCCATCAGGCAAATATTAATTTACTGGGCTGTTAAAAGTTGTCTTTCAGAACAGTATACCAGTTCAAACAAAAAAAAAGGTTTTGGAGTTCATGACTGTCAAAAGTAAGTTTTTCTGATTGTAATAAAACAGAGACTTTCATAGGTTTCTCGCCCAATTTCAATTTTAGATATTGTCTTGATAACAGAAGAGCCTTGGAGAGAGATGTGGGATATGCTGAACTTCAAACTCGTCTTATTCGCTATGAAACTCAGACTACTTGCACCAAAGAGTGCTGCCCTGTGCCACTTGTCCTGAGTCCTCTCCCATCTCCTGCAGTCTTGTCAGAGCCTGGAAGTGTCCCTGATGGAGAGACTTTGCAAAGCGAATTCAAAACAGAGACATCAAGGCTAAAATACAGATCAAAAGACCTGGATTACTTTTATCCCAAGAAAAGGTAATGCACTGAATAAAATGCATCTTTAGCATGAAATGTTTCAGTAGACTCTTGTGAACTGCATCTTTTCTTTCATTTCAAAATGTTTCAATGAAGCTATCTAGACAAATGTTCTAGTTGTTTAATCCTCTTCTGTAGGTTCTTTTTTTTTCCTCAAGTGTGATCTCTCATTGATGGTATTAGATTAATCAAAACCATGCAGCACAGGCACACTTTGTTTAACAGATTTGGGGTTATATCTTGCAGTCTCAAGTGCCTTTGAGAAGATGACAGCCTCATCTAGGACTGAAACAGTCAGTGCTCCTGTACCACAAATAAACAACTAAAAGTTTAGAAAGCCAAGGATTGTACAAACAGAGTAATTGAATTTCTAATCCAAAGGACTGCTGGCATAAGATGACCTACCAGAATTCAATATTCTTGTCAGCCTTGTTTGTTAAAGTCTTTTCTGGAAGTTTAGTTTTTAAGATTTCCCTGTGTACCTTGTCCTCACTCTGAAGATGCAAACTCTGTCACTGAATAATAGCTGCTAGGTAACCCTATTTCCAAATTCACTTTTTTACTGTAGTACTTCACTTCTTCCTTATTTCCAGGTTGATACCCTTTGCATTCTAGTCACAATAAGCCTTTAACAGAGGTCTGGTTTTAGAAATACGTGTATCTTCTGCAGCTTACTGAGTAGTTAGAAAAGAAGATGTGATTATACTTAACATTTTGTAAATTGGAGTTTGGAATTACTAATGCTCTTACAGTTGAAGGATCAAGAATTACAATGTTCCCATAGAATTCTAATGCCCAACTTCTTGTAGTTAAATATGAGTTGTGACATTCCTATAGGGCCAAAAGAAATTAAATAGTTGGAAGAAGTTTTGTCTCATCCAAAGACTTGAGGTCAATTCTCTTCCCAAGTGTTTTATTTTGTTCGTTACTTGATTTCTTCAATTTGTTTCTAGACCTTTTTAATCAGAGGTGCAATGGGTCTACGTGTCAGAGCCCACTCCAGTCAGCAGACTGTTCATCTAATATAAAAAATTTTACAGACTAGAATCCTGTCTTCCTGTCTGCTGTTTTCAGATGCTGTTTGCAGGAAAGCTCAGTACTTGCTGCTCTAAAGCAGCAGCCTCTCTAGCAGAACAATGGCACTAAAAGAGTTGGTACAAAACCTGAAAGTTACTTTTATTGGGTTTTTTACTGTTCTTTGTAGGCTAACCAAATCTGAGAGCACGGACTCGCTGCTGTCCCAGGCAGGCGGAAGCAGCAGGAGCCGCTGTGCGGTCGCAGTGCCGAGGAAGCGCTCGGAGAGATCCGTTTGTGAGGCTGCAGTGCCCTGGAAAGCGCCCAGCCAAGGCCACAGAGCTGCCACCAGGGCTGGCTCAGCTACAGAGCCTGAGGCTGCAAAGCCAGAGAAGGAATCGAGATCCCAGAAACACACGAGGGTAAAAATCTACCTTGTTCTCTTAGTGAAGAAGAGCTGCTTAACTTCTTTCCATGGGACTTGATTTGTAAAAATTTTTTAACTCAAGGTGAACTATCTTCATCTTTATTTCTTACTGAATTTCATTGTGTTAACTTGTGTAAGTGAATCCTGAAGGCACTGAGGAGAGTGCTGCAGAAGCCAAGAATGAAGAAGTGTGCAAAGAAAATTTTATTATGCCCAGAAAATTAAGGCTGAGAGAGATAACAACGAGGAATAAAAAAGGTGGAAATGAATAGCAATTAATAGGAGTTATGAAATATAAATGATTAATATAAAACCTAAAGGCACCAAAGAGATAGATATATGTTCTGGAAGGGTCAAAGGCATTGTGGAGGAACAGACTAGTCTGAGAATAAAGAGATTCCTGTAGTTTTATAAATCCATTAATTGAGATAACAGTTAAATAATTTGGTGGAGTAATGTTTAATTATTAGCTGTGTAAGTTAGGAATGCCTCTTCTGAAATACAATACACAAAACTGTTTCTGACTCGGTGATACAAATTTTAAATTAATCCCAGGGTAGAAGGAGAACACTGCAAGAATGTTGAGGTACTGTCAAAGGTAAGTTGGAATGGTCCAAGGAAGCATAAATTGGTGTGACTCGTTGAGACCTACAGCAGAGTTTAAACATCTCTGATGTAAAGAATGTCAGAGGAAATTATCTACTGAAACTTAAGTGTCAGACTTTTAAATTTTTTTTAACATATATGCATCAAACAAGGGAATATCAGTACAGCAAAAAGTGATAATTTTATATATATTATTTTGGAGAAGAAAAACCAAGATAATATTGACTTCTTCTTTATCTTCCAAGCTCATGTGACTGTTCACTGATCCTTGACATGTAAGCATTTTCTTAATATTTTAAAAATGAAGGAAATGGAAATAGATTGTTAAATAAGTGCTCAAATTCAGGCAGTGAGCTGATCACGTTTGGCAATAGACTAAAGGCAGGCAAGATCACAAAAGATCAGGTTTTCTATCTTGGGCTTTTTTGCTTCCCATTGACAATTTTTCATGTCAGTAGTTGGGATGAACTTCTGAGTGTCTTTTCTTCTGTTTCCAAGATGCTGAAGGAGGTGGTTGCTAAGACTCTTCAAAAATATGGAATTGCAGAAGACCATAAGTGCTTTGCATCCTGCAGCCAGCGTCTATTTGAGATATCAAAATTCTACCTAAAGGTAACTAGAAGACGCGCTCTTGCAGTTCTTTATTCTTAGTTAAGTGAAGCCACTCCTAAATAAAACTTGAGCTAGCATGTGGGATATTCAGAATTGATTAAGCTAATATTTCCCAGTGGTGTTGTAGTAATGTGTAGATTGTGTGGAGAGACCTTTGGACTTGCTGTCAAATGGAGAAGGTAGTTTTACAATATAGTTTTGTGGGGTTTTGCTTGTTTTAAAACTTTCTAAAGCAGTAGCCTTTTATACATAGTGAAATAATATGCTAAAGCATGGGCCTGTTAGGTTAGGTCACTCTTAAGAGCTGCAACAGCTAAGGAGGCAATAGAATATCTCCCAGCTGTGCCTGTGACAGCTCAGCTTTCTCCCTTGCTCTAAGGTTGTTGGCTCAATAAGTAGCTTACAGAACTGACTCAGAAATTCCCTGACATGATGCTTTCTATTATCTAACACATCCTGGCTCAGCAGCACCCTGTAGAATTGCATCAACCTCATGTTTAGGGGGAGATGAGAATTCTTTCCACAATACCTGTAAGACTGTGAGTCAATGCTGAAGCCCATGTTACTTGGTCTGAGCACAAAGTTAAGTTAATTACAGTATGGAGTGATACTCCATATCACAAGCTGAGCTGCTGTTCTGTTCACTTGCATGTGTTTAACCTACCACTATGGGTGAAGCAGCTCAGTTTAGTCAACTTCAGTAATAGTGCTTTAAGCTAAAAGAAAGCTGAACAGGGCTGGATGCTTTGACAATCAGAACATCTTGCTGATAAGCACCAATTTCTTAAATAGTGGGAACACAGTGCTCCCAAAGTCTCCCTGAAATATGCCCTGAAGGAAGATCTCCTAATCCAAAATCAGAAGGGGCTGCATCTAGGGATGTGGAAGTAGAGCAAATCAGGGTTTGTGGTTCCATTTCAAGTAGAAAAGGAAGAATATGGCAGTGATCCTGTCCTTTCTAGAGAGAGGTGTCACAGGATTGTGTTCTCCTGAAATGTCTTGCGGCTCCAAATCTGTGGGAGTCCTTTGAATCCTTTTGTGTGCTGCATAATTCAAAAGCATGGTAACATAGGTATAATTTTCCTCTGAAGATAAGTAGTAAATGCATTTTCTTCCTCTCCAGGCAAGGTTTTGTTTTTGCTTTGTTTAAAAGAGTAAATGAGGTTGGACTCATTAAATGGACTGCAAACCAGAAAAGCCGTTCTAGATTTTTGCCTTTTCTGCACTGGTTTTCTTTTCTGATGTCTGCTTCTCTGTTCTTTGCCAGAAATCTCTATTACAGGGTAAGCTCACAGCTCATTTCCATGTTTATATAGAAACAGGATTTCAGTCAAGACTGTAAGAACTTTGAATATCACTGAAGAAAAAAATTCTGGAAATTGTGCAGAAATATGCAGAAGTTTAGGAAGGCTAAATCATAACTGAGTACTAGGTTTGGACTGCTGTAAGGAAAACTGCAACCCATTGGAATAGATTTAAATTACTTTCCTTTTTTTCCTTTTTAATTAAAAAAGCAAAGACAAATAATTCTTCTTTTGTTCTGAACAAAGTGATAAAAGTGTAATACTGCCCTGGTTATCAGCACTCATATAACCCAAATTAGAATGACTGTATGCTGACTTCTGTGGCTTTTTGTTTCATATTTAGGACCTCAAAACTTCTAGAGGACTTCTTGATGAAATGAAGAAAACAGCAAATAGCAATGCTAAACAGGTAACACCATGTGTTTATTTGTTCCTGTACATAGCCACAGGATGGTTTAGTCCACAGCTTTAACAGATGAAGGGGTGCATGTGGGTCTTGTTTCACTCTGACCTCACACAAACTCTCTCTCAGTCAGTAGTTCCAAGGCAAAATTTCCAGATTTTGGGTGGTATTTTAGTTACAGCTGCCAAGATGATGTGCCGCAGTGCGAAATGGAAAAGAAGACAATGATGTTTCTACATCACTGAAACAAACAAACAGGGAAAAAAAAGAGAGAGATTTTTCTTTAATTAGGATCATTAGGGAGTTCTTTTCTTGTGTTGAAGGAAATAACGTTTCAAAGGTTAGGAAGTAATAAGCTGGTCTATGAAAGGAAATAAATTTTTTAAAAGCAGCAATAAAAATGAGTAACTTTAGGCTCGTGAGTAACTGTATGCACAAGGGATCTCAGGTGGAGTTATTTATGCATAATGTGGGACTTGCATGCACAGCAGCACAGAGCAAATGACAGAAGTGAATATTCCTCCAGAAATTCAGTAACTGGTACTGTGTTCTGAGACATACACTGAAGTGACTCCATGACTTGGGGAAAAGAAAAAAGCACAAACAAAAAAACTGTCATGCAGAATTACAGTACAGTTTTCATAATTATAAATTAAATGGAAGAATTTGAACTGAGTTAGGTAAGTAATAGAACACACTCTCAAGAAAGCTGCTAGATCTCCAGAAAACTTATTCTATGAGAGCAGTATCTGCTGTGTCCTGTGCTGTATTCCTTTATGGATTGCTTTGTATGGATGATAAGGTTTCAAAAACTATATGGGTTGTGATGTTTGGTGTTGAGCTGAACTGTTGTGCTGATACACTGCTTCTCACCTCCAGAGAGAATCAGTTTATCAGCACAATAGTTCAGTCTTTGTCTGGCCAGAAAATTGGTCGTTTTTTGTATATTTGCTGTTGGCAAAAGGCATTAAAATTGATGTTCTCCTAAACTGCTTATGTCTCTGTATTAGAGAGTATTTTGAAATTACTTTACAAAAATATAATTGCCAAGGACTAGTCAGTGGTCTGAACAGCTGCCCTGTTTGGAAAGCAGCAGTGATAATGGTGGTAGATACAGCAGTGCACAAATTATCCTTCATTCTTTCTTCTCTGGCATTAGGAACTTTTACTGCTGGAAGCATGAGCTGTTTGGCATTATGTGCAACTTCTTGCTGGTGTATGGAGAGAATGGAGTGAAGTATTTCAATTCAGGGGTTCTAAAAATGCCTTTTCCTAAAGACAAAGCATTTTGCAAGATTAAATACAATTCTAGGGTAATGCTGTTTCCTCTCAGATTATTAACAATACTTTTTTCTCCTGACTAGTTTGCTTTTAAATCCTGTTTAGTAAATACTACACAGGTGGTGACAAAGAAAGAATTGATGATGTCTGTGAGATGTTCTTAATTTGCTTTCAAAACCAGGAGGTATGTAAATTGTTTGCTTTCTCATTTATTTGCCCAGGTGATTGAATGGGTTTTGGAGAAGACTAGCAAGTAGAGGCACTGTGTGGATTCTGTTCACACCTTCCCAGGAGCTGTGGAGACAGAGCACTTCTGACTTGAGAAGCATTATGCTGCCCAATGCACACACAGATCTGCACACTGGGAGGACTTTGGTCAGTGTAGTTATGTTAGACTCATTCTTCAAGCAAAGGAGTGAGGTTGGAAACTTTTTATACTGAAAGTTTTTAATTTTTTTTTTAATTCATATGAAAAGAGGTTGTATTTTATATGTGTATTTATTATGTTTTTTAAAAGGACTATAGCTTGACTTGATTTATAAAGCTTTGTATATTTTCCAACCAGTGTATTTGGTTTTTATATGAATAAAAACCCCCACATATTTAATTTCGATAACTACTACTTTATTTTACCTTTTTGTGTGAAGATCTGTATTCTGCTTCAGCTTGCTGTTGTATAAACAGCTGTTTACAGCATCAGCTATTAACAGTTTATACACTAATTAAGAACAGTTCCTATTCTCTAGGTGAAAACAAACACAATCAGAAATTGAACCATAATTATCTCTGTGTTGTACTATAAGGAAGAAAAAAGCATGACTTGAAACTTGGTGCAAGGTCTCATTAAAGGAAGTTTCTTTGTTTTACAAGCTGAATTTTTGGTATAATTTCCTGCTTGCTCTTTGTAATACTCCTTAGAAAAATATCTAAGGAGAGGTCTGAGATTTCTTTTCCTGGAAGAGGAGAAAATCAAAGCAATAGTGGTAATGAGGATGGTGAGAGCTGGAAAAGAGCTAGTGTGCTATGCTGAAATGTAAGGAAAAAGAGTTTCTAGCTGTGTTGCAAACACAGTAAAACACTAAATTTGGCCTCAATTAGTTTAAGTCCCTGGCATGTACCTGGCTGGGACTAATGTAATTATTCAAGTTAGTATTTTGTTGAGATGAGGAGTTCCTACTAAGCTTTCTGTATTAAGGATTTCCTATTTATCATATAAATTAACAGGATTAAAACTGATAGAGATGCAGGGCTATTGTTTGCTATATTACCCTGGTAGGAAAATAGATTAAGCAATACAAATGTAAATGAAATGTAATGTTGTGAAAAAATAATCGAACTAAACCATGTGGAGGTTAGACTTAATACTGTAAAATCTATGCTTTCTGTAATGAGCCTTCCTGATTTTGTGACATTATTCTTTGCTGAATTCGATTTGGTGTAAAGCTAAGCCCTAAGGAGGTTTTTCATGTCTAAGAGGATCTTGAGTTCAACTGTTCTGTTCCTTTGTTCCCAAGTTTACCAGTCCTGAACTCTGCAAGACCTTTCCTGGGGGGGTGTGTACTTGGTTTAACTGAGCTGCAGTAGGAGAGCTCCGGAGTTGTTCTGCTGTGACAGTGGGCTCTAGTGAGTACTGTGTGCATCTAAGCCCAGGAGAAACATCACTGCTTGTAAGATGGACTACATTTGTCTGCACACACATCCACAGCATCCCAGCTTTAGTGACTTGGTGAAATAGAAATGAAATGAAATGAAGAGAGTTATTTAAATAATGATTTAATAAGTGCATGCACAAAATTACTGTGTATGGCTCACATTTCTTTGCATTCAATATAAAAACAAGAAAGTAATCAAGACATTAACCTTTCTTCCCATCTTCTAGTGAATCAGGAAAGTCTCTACTTCCAGAGAGAAAAGCTGTAAGCTGTAGCCTTATCTCTTCAGCATGAATGCCGATACTTTTGTCTGAATACTAAAGCAAGCCACTGAAAGTTGTATTTTCTACTTAATTTTGGCAAGTTTATATATTTGTAATTAGAAAAACTTTGTAGCTAATAATAATACATAAGTTGATAAGTAAAAGTACAGAAGCTCTACATTTCATAAATCCTTGAGGCTAGCTGCCATGAGCAAAGAAAATACCTTCAGGAAAGTAATTAATACTTTGAACTGCTTTTCTTGTACTTCAAGTAGAACCCAATGGTAATTGGTTTAATTAATTCTGTAGACTGAAAGACTGGCCTGAAATAATCAGCAGGAAAGCAGTTAGGGAAGCATAAGAATTTTGATGTATTGGTTTTCTGCACAATTCCCAGTGCAGAACTAATACACTGCTACCCATGTCTCATTTGCTCTTTTGTTTTGGTGGCTTTTGAGGACAAGTGGTAGCTGGTTTATTATTGTGGCTTAATAACACTGTGCCCCATTTGAGCTGTGATAACTGTCCCTGTTCATGCTCTTAACCTACAAAAAAGTAGGCACAATAATTTGATCTGGCCCACTGTAACAGCACTAAACCAAATTATTTTACATCTGTTGCAGTTCCAAAAGCCCACTGAGAGTTCCTGCAGCTTGGCTGATACGCTGTAACTTAAGTGATGCAGAATGTATCCTCTCCCTTTGCCTCTGAACTTCAAATTATTTCTTGTTTGTGGCTGCTGAACCCCAAATCCAGTCTGCCTTACGCATATTTTGGGTGCTTGCTTTCATGTTTCTGCAGCATGAAAGGATATAAATCATATTCACCAGTACACATTTGTGGTTTACCCATAATCCTATATAATAAGCACATAACATAATAACATTATTATATGTAGAAGCATGTTATCCATCCACATTATGTGCTTATATTCCCCCCAGGACTGGGGTAAGACAGCACTGATGTGGTTGCAATTACTTGGTGATGTGATTACTTGTAATATTGCAGCAATTACATGGTGACTATCACTGGGCTACCACAGAACTTAGCTTGGGTACTAATGCTTCTCCAAATCCACAAACTTTTGTCCCAATTCACAGTTCTCCCTTGGAACTTGTTTTCTAAATTTGTTTCCTAATGCCCCTAATTATTTACACAAGCACAGATATTCTGATGAAGGAAAAAAAAATGAATAGCTAATCCCATGTGGGAAAAGCAGGTGATTATGTTCAATTATCATCTCTGTTAAATATTTAAAATGTTTTTCCCCTTATTCTTTTAAATTAAAAAATTGCCCTGGTTAGTCTGGGGGTTCACTTTAAGCAAGCAGGCTGAGTTTCTCAAAATTTTGCAAGCATATTATTAGTATCTGCTCTTTAAAATTGAAGCCATCACTGAATTCAAAAGTGTCCATAATATACACAATGTGTGTATATATATAAATACATAATATATACTGTATTAATGGTCTCTCTGTATAGTAAATAGATTCAGTAAATAGCTAGTTATCAATCTGCCAGTTTGACTTTTATGGAAAATAACATAAATTTATAAATCAATGGTAGTGTAATGATCTGGAGCACATAATTTCTTTAGGCTCTGATTCTGCTTCCACTGAAACCAAAGAAGCCCAAATTAACTTTTAAGCATGGGTAAGAGGACACTGAGAATGCTCTCAGGTGGAAATCAGATCAATCTCCCCTTCAAATCAGCTGAGCGTCCCAATGCAAAGAGCTGGATGGAGCGTGCTGCCATGTCCTGTGGGAGGAAGAAATTCTAACATTCTGCAGAAAGAAAACACTTGTTCTGTTCTTTGCAAAGGATCAATTCTAATGGTGTTTGTGGTGGTGATTTGCTTAGTAGCATGTCAAGAGTCTTGTTCTGATTTCTAAAGTACCTTAGGAGAGGTGCTGGTTCCATTTGAAGGGCAGGACTGTTAGAAACACCAGTGTGATTCCCTGAACACAATCAGATCAGCTTTATTTTTTTTTTAACAAACACTTTACATCACATTTTTCCAATAGCATTTTTGCTTCAATATGTATCCCAATCTTTCTCATGGTGAAGCTGCTATACAAACTTTCTGATAAGACCATTCCATTTATAGTAATTATTTTATGAAAAGAGTGAAACTCTGGGATATCCCTTTTCAGGCTTTCCAAAGGCTGTTCTGTCATAACTTGGGTAAGACTGAAAGAAAAGGCTTAAATTCCCACAGTTATCTTTTCTGTTTGGGCCACTAAGTTAAGAATTAAATCAAAGGAGAAAAAAAATTGTTTTCCCATAACCATTCATAAGAGAAAAAAGGCACGTGTTGGCCTCAGTCCTTGAATGCAGAAGCTTGAGCAGAAATTTCTGCTTTTTCTTAATTTTTTATAAGTCTTCTGTTACCACCTAGTCCAGTATAAATGACAGAAGAAGCATTGCAACTTCAGCAGAGATGTCTGAATGACCTGCCCTGAAACATTCCTGTGGGATTTCAGGGTTTCTTTTTTTAATTTTAAGTTTTAAAGTCATTCCACCAATGCAATTAACAGTTCCCTCCAGTAACAGAATTCTTAACAGAAGCACTGAAGTTTAAATGTATTTCTCCCAGCCCAAAACCAAAGGACAGCCTTCCAGATAGTTTGTCTGGATATAAAGTAAGCTCACGTCACAAAAATCCAATAAATGACTTTATTAAATATATTCTTTTCCTCTAAAATATAAATATTCACTATACTCTTATAAATGTGGGGTAGGTTCATATTTCATTTGTCTATCCCATCCAAATATGAATCAGTCCAAAATCTGAAAATGAAGAAATAGCATCTGTAATCATCATTAATTTTTTCTATAAATATATATAATATGAATTTTCTTTGCAAACTGCTTAGTTATTCACTTAGACTTCATATAGTACTGAGCACCTTAGATTACATTTTGTGTAATTTAATTGTTGGCACTAATATAGGAATTTGTAATATTTACAATGCACATACATGTTAGGTATAACATTCCAGTGATTTGTAAGTGTTAAAAGGAAAAAGGGAATAGTGCAGTATAGTTTATATATGTATTTAACCTACCCCCCCAGCACTTTTATAGAGCCTATCTCCAAAATTTTAAGTTGTACTTTGGAACAGCAATAAAAATGTCCTGAACTGGTTTTTAAAGACTTGACAGAAGAGCTTCCTTGGTAAGGTGACATGAGCTCCTCCTCAGAGTCCTGTCCCGCTGCGTACCGACTGCTCTCAGCTTCCCAGATCTCTCCTAGAAGCTTCCAAGCCCAAGGAGTCCCAAGGAACTGCCACAGAAAGTTGTGTGAATGGCAGTGGTCACTAAATGAGAAATGTCCATCTGGAAATTACTGGTAAGTTAGGAAACATGTTACCCCTTGTTAATTTACATGAGGAATTAATTTTTAAGTGCAAGTACCATGACAATAAAATGAAAGTGCAGAGCTGGGTGGATCTCTCCCTGGCGTGTGAGAGGTCCTGGGAGTGGGGCTGCTCTTCCAATGGGGCATTGAGCTGTTCTTCAGTGATTATTTTCTG